TAGGAAATTTGTACATGTATTCAACATGTTCATCAAACTTTACCGTGCAAGAAAAAATAGATCACTTCTTTGTCATTAGTTACCATTTTTTCAATACACGTTTGATTCAGCTGATAGATTCATTAAGCACGTTTGATTTTGTGAGAGATATATCTTGTGGGTGCATTATCTAAGGAGAAATGATAATAGGGGAGGAGAGAACAAAACAATCGGAACTTATTGGCTACCACACTCTCCAGAATTCGAGAAACATTGGGGAGTCTATCAAACTCCATATAGGCTTTACTTCTCGAGTTCCTATTTCCACGGATCATGCAACATGTACATCGAGGTGTCCAACCCTCTCAAATGGAGGGAAGTCCACTTCAAATAAAATATGATTTATTCTAAGTGAGTTCTCATCTATGTGAGAAATGTGAACACCACTTGACGTACAAGTAGCATTATCTCTATTTCCACAGCCCCACCAGGCCTAGCCTCCAAGAAGCATAATCAGTTGTCAATTTTCACGTCTAGGAGTAGCTTCTGTGATAAATAACGTAACCTCCAATTGTACAATTGCGCTCTTGAATATCATCTATGAGAAGGATGGATGCCAACTTAAGAGTACTAAGCCAGCTGATTTCGACCATCTCTTAACATCTCATCGTCAAGAAGATATTTATAGTCAAAGCACATAAACCACCAAGTTCTCCTCCCTCCCTATTCCTCAATAGGCGTATTTTCATTCATTAACTGTGCAAAATTTAAGGAGTAGTTCAGTTAATTGACCCTCTCTAATAAGGGCAACAGGTCGAATGATGTGAGTTCATGACTATTGAAGAATGAGCCAACGACTCATGGGGTGTAGCTAGCATTGGTGGCAAACTCAAATATTGTCTAACTCAATTTTTATTAACAATCATCCATGCTTTTCCAGATCTAAGCTCTAGTAACAGCATTTTATATTTTACTCATATTACGAAACTACTGGTGCAGGAAATTAAATTAGGTCTGTTTCTTGAGTATTTCTTTGTTCTATGTAAAATAACAATACAGCTTCCCTTTGAAAAATAACAGCAATACCGTTTTACCCAGACATGTATCAGATAGGTAACACGATCATGAAACTATTAATCTTTTGTTGCTAAATCCAACAATAAACAAGATGGCCAATCCAAGTTCTATTCTACATTCCAGTATCTGTTTTTCCACGGGTGAAAATCCATTAATAATTACACTTGATCACCAAACCTACAGCAACCAATTTTATTTTATTTTATTTTTATTTATTTTTTCAGGGTGGGGGTGTTAAAACACCGAGAGGAGTTTAAACCCCTCACCGGTGAGTAATGCGTGGAATCTTCTGAACAGTTTTACATGAGACAAGTAAAATATGAGCAACGAATTGTTGGATGTATGAGACAAGCATTGATGAAGACAGGATTGGATTTTGACACAAGTATGCAGCCAGAATTAATTTCTGTTTTTCTAGATTTCACAAAAATTATAGCAGCGAAATGAGCATTTGCTCATGTAACAAACTAATTTCTGGAGATTTCACAAAAACTATAGCAGCAAAGTGAGCTTTTGCTCATGTGAAAACACTAACATTAAAAAAACCTTTGCTTTCACATTGAAACTATAAATTCTTAAACGTACAGGACTTAAGTGGAAGCATGAGTCTACTCATACACTCATCTCAAGATAATTCACCAATGTCCTCAGTGAAAATACATAGAATATATCTAGTATAGGACGCAGCCCCAGTCTTGCGCAAAAAGGATATTTTATAATTTGTACTCCCCAAGCAGCAGGCTTGCCAAAATAATGTACTCAGCTAAACAAAGTTTACACTATAAAAAATTAGACAGCAAAAAACAAATAATTTATAACACATTTCTGTGAAATATCTTAATTAAGTGCAATTCTGAACGGGGATAAGGCATGCCAGAATATCCAGGTTGCACTTTACGGAAATAGGAACTCAACACGAAACGCGTGGGGACGCACAATTTTTCAAAAAGGTAGGACACAAAACAAACAAGGTAGGGACATGAACACACATGTGAAACTTTTTAGTTTCCATCCAGTAATTTGGAAAAAAACGGCTGATGTATTATATGATCCAATCTTTATGAAGACAGTGGCATATGTTTGTTTATTTGAGATGTAGAAAATGAGAGACATGTCATCATCAGTGAATTTACTCATTTGTAGCTTGCTATGACTTTTTAGATTATAAGCAAAAAACTTCCCTACTTTGCTTATGTATAAACGGGAAATGCTAGCTCTGCAGCTGTTACTTGAGTATCAGAAAATTAGTAAACCCATATACTGGTCGAAGAAAACATAAGGAATTGTATGCATGGTAAAACATGCATCCATCCTCTGTCCTTATTTTGTTCAAATCTGACTCACCATTCACTACCACCTTCTGACTTTACCATTCCCAACTTAGGGAACTAACACCAAATTAAGGGAAGATTTACACGAGGTCTGGCATAGGAAGTTTGGTTCCACATGCAGGATTTGCTGAAGGAGTGAACTGGAAAGGAAGCAGGCAATGTTTAGAAAGGCTTAACTGGGTCCCAAATGAAGAAACTGGAAAACAGCACAGGTTGTCAACAGTGATTAGCAAAACTTTAGAAGACGCACTAAAGGACTCATTGAGCAATCCATGCTCCTCACCAAATATAGTCATGAGAGAAGGCCTATATAAGAGATCCCTGAGACTTGAAAAGGCATTTCAAACATGTACACAATACACCACGTTCACCTTTGTCTTCCACACTATCACCACCTTTTTGCTTGAGTGTTGGATGGTATTTGTCGGGGTACAGCACGACAACCCAACACCTCTATTGACACTTGACTTTGGTTGTAGACCCTGAGTGCTGGCAAGAGATAGTACAGTGCAGATCCAAGCCTTCAAAAAGGAATTGTGGAAGTCTATAAAAGACCTCAACGATTCCAATGAAGGTTTTTTTTTTTTTTATCAATTCCAAACAATGTAATACAATCCACTTTAATTATAAGGATAAAGTAGAAAATTTCATCGCAATCTCTAACAATCATCAAAAAAGCTATAGAAGCAATCCATCAGAAACCTAAATCATAAAAGTACAAGAAAACTCAATAATCCATGGCACATCATGTTATTTCATTTTCAATTGGCAAGAAGTCCATTTTCCAGAACAAGCCAGCAGCCAAATTTCTTAAGGAAGAAACGGAAAATCATCAAACACATTACTGATTCCATTATTCAATCAATCTGTGCTAGAATATAATTTCTCAAATAACTTGTCAGAAAAGCTGTTAAACTTACCCAAATTTAACTCGAATAACAGAAATCCCAAATGAATATGAAATTTCAATCTTCATTAAGTTGTCCAACCTCAGCCTTCAATTGCTCAATCTTGAGCCCCATAGCCCTTTGAATAGCGCTCCTCTGGTTATCCGGAAGCTTTTTCAACAGCCCTTCATACATTTCGAGAACTTCATTAACAGAAGCACGTGCGCATTCAGCTTCCTCGTCGAAATACACAGTCTCTTTGGACTCCATGGCCGACTCTATATCCTCTCTCGCCTCTACAAACTTGAGGTTGATTTTATCCACTTCTTTGTCTGCGTCAACACTGTATTGCCTGAAATCCTGGAAAATACTGACATAGGTCGGTGAATTTAGGTTTGCTGGATGATAGAAATGGTGGGGTTTCTTCAGTTGTTGGGGTACGGAGCCATAGGTTGAGAAATTTTTGAGGGAGATCAAGGGAAATGGATATTTGCGGTTTGAAACTCTTCCAAAAGGGTTTCTGGAGAGCATTTTACAGAGAGAAATTAACGAGCGCCTGTCCATTTTTTAGGGCACTGAGAACAAGATCGAGAGAGGAGCAATTGCAGGTGACAATTAACTACGTGCTTGTTTCCTAACTTCATTAAAATTTGGTGGATATTTAATACAAGAATAATAACTTTTATTCATTTTTTAAATTATAAAAATTTAATTTACTATCAATTTTTCAATCATATTCTATCTATTTTTGTAAATATGAACTAAAAAATTTTATCAAAAACTTTTGTTAATGCGTTGATTCAGATTGAATTTTAACCCTTCCGTTAGTTTTGATAGGCAAATTAATTAATTTCAAGTAGAAATTGGACGAATAAGCCGGTTGATTTTAAATTAAAATTGAGTGGTTTGATAGTCCAGATTAAAGTGAAATAGCTTGGTTACAAGTAGTGTAAGGTTAACGGACCTCCATTGCAATAAACCCTACTATTAATTTTTAAAACACAGACTACCAAGAATTTACTCAAATGATAATAGAGAAAGTGAGAAAGTAAGCTTATTTATAAGCAATTATTTTAGAGAAAATTGAATAATTTGGATGTGAAGCTTTTACAGGAGTTTGATATCTGAAGTGGCCTTGAAATTTGGATAAGCTTCAACACTCTTTATTCAAAAAGCTTCATTTTTAAAAGAGAAAATTGACATAAAAACAAATCTTACAGCCTGTTTGGAAGTGATTTTTTGACCGTTATTTCACTATTCCAGTCGTCATATTTGACTTCTTCTCTCACAGTTGGACCTCACTTTTTTCCTAATGGTCAAAAAATCAATTCTCAAAATCACTTCTAAATAGATTCTTTGATTTATTTTAGTATGACTAGCTAGACCTGAATAATTATGTAATGTGTAATATAACCTGCATTTTAATTTTAATAAGTGATTCAGCATCACTCAGACCTTCAACTTCACTTCATATTTCTTCACCACCATTAATCCAAATCTTGTTTGTAACAAAATCTTTGTTGGTCAATGTGTTTGCCTAAATGCTAATGCTATCACAATTTAGGTTGATCAAACACTTCTCATATATATAAATGGTGAAACCGTTGCATGAATAAGAAGATCACATCGGTTATGTTCAGATCATTGGCTGTTTTCCCTCAACCCGTTTATTAGTACTGTATGTATTTTATGAAAATTTTCAAGTCTCAACCATAAGTGAGGAGTGTATTGAAAATAAATTTGTACTCCCTCGACTTTGAAATGAGAAAATTCTACTACAAATTGAGTACCATATTCTAGGGAGAATTCCACTACATGTAATTTTTTCAGATCTTTTTGAAAAGTGCTGCGAAGTAATTAAAAATAAATTTTTCCTTTTCTCTTTATCGATGAAGAGGCAAAGAGAAGAGATGGAAAATTCATTTTTCTTCAGTTTTCTTCTTTCCTTGCAATTAAAAGAATAATTCTCATAAAATTCGACAAAACATAATGCGATTTTTCTAATTTCTCTATTTACAAATACTGTCAGCAACTCTCTCAGTTGGGCCCCCAACTGCTCAAATACATGACTTTTCTGAGTGATTCTTCAGATTGCCTCATTTTTTCTTCTTTCAACTTATTCGACACCATAGAAGATGACTGCGGAGAGAGTTTCTGGGCCTGAGAGAAGGATCTGATATTGTTCTTAGCGTGCTGTTGGATTAATCTGAATGTGTAATTCCATCTGCAGAAACCCTGATCTTTCAATGCCTCTATAGCCCCCACACTGGCTGCCGCAATCCATGCTCTACCTGTTGAACTCATTATGTTCAATAATTTGCTTGTAGAATATAAGATTTTGAGTTGTGAAAGAGACTGAGATTTTTTTCTATTTTGTTGATTCCCTTTGTAAGGGAGAAGCATATATATATATATATATATATACAGCAAATGAACACAAAACCAGAGGCTTTGTGTCTAGTGGTTTAAGTTTTCTTGTGTGCTGTTGTAATGACTTTTTTGGATTTTTCTAATTCTTTGCCAATCTTATGGCGAGGGTATAAATGTGTAGGGAATTGAGACCAATTCCATTTATTTCGCCCATAGTATGCTGATCACATCAATCAGGGGGGGGGGGGAATTGAGAGAAATTCCATTTATTTCGCCCACAGAATCCTTACCACATCAATCATCAACAATATTTAAAAAGTGGAGATTAAGGGTAAATTTTTGAAATACAATAATACCCTCATTAATTTTATATAATTTCCAATTCATCCTTCAATTATTATTAGAATTTAGAAAGTTTTATAACCTACTATTCAATTATTATTTGAATTTATAACACAGTATGAGAGGATTTTGAATGTGAATGGTTGCTTGTGTATCACTTTATTTTTTTGTGTAAATTAGCTAAGGGCCCATTTGACATAACTTTTGAAAAGTTAAAGAGGAAATTCTGCCAACCACCTATTTTTCAAAACAATTTCAAGAAATACTATGTATTATTTATTTTTCATGTTCTACTTATAAAAAATACAGTAATATGGAAAACGGACTGCGTCACTTCACTCATTCTAGGCATATCAATTGGAAGCTGAACAGATGCCACCAAACACGCCCTTTCTCGTCTTGTGCAGTTATTCAGTCAGTTGCAAATTCCCCAACCAAACACGCCCCTTGCCATAGCAATTCAGCCTATCTATGAAAAAATCCCAAATTGCACCATCAAGACTAGTTGCAAGAAATCGGAGATTCACAAGTCGTCGATCCTATCCCAGATTCACAGCACTAATGTATGCCTCGAAATATATTACAGTATCATTGTTTGAGTATCAATGATCGCATGATTAGGGTGTATAAGCACATATATAAATCCTAATCACAATTGTCAATCATCACATTCAATCAAGTTGAAGTTTTCCTATTCCCGTAATTGGTGTTATCTCAAGCTCCATGTAACTTTGGGATACTATTTGACATGTCCAAAGTGTGAATGTCATTTGATATCCGAATTGGTGACATCTCAACGTTAGCAACATATTCAATGTTAAGACTTAAGACTCTCTTATCAAGTTTCAATTAACTCATTATCGTGTCAACGAGATGAACATATTTGCAATCATCAATGGTTCAGCTATAAGGGCATTTAAGTTCTCTGGATGTGAAGCTTTTACAGGAGTTTGATATCTGAAGTGGCCTTGAAATTTGGATAAGCTTCAACACTCTTTATTCAAAAAGCTCCATGTTTAAAAGAGAAAATTGACACAAAACAAATCTTACAGTCTGTTTGGAAGTGATTTTTTGGTCCAAAAATTTGATTTTTTTACCGTTATCTCACTATTCCAGACGTCATATTTGACTTCTTCTCTCACAATTAAACCCCACTTTTTTCCTAACGGTCAAAAAATCAATTCTCAAAATCACTTCGAAACAAGCTCTTTGGTTTATTTTAGTATGACTAGCTAGACCCGAATAACTATGTAATGTGTAATATAACCTGCATTTTAATTTTAATAAGTGATTCAGCATCACTCAGACCTTCAACTTCACTTCATATTTCTTCACCACCATTAATCCAAATCTTGTCTGTAACAAAATCTTTGTCGGTCAATGGGTTTGCCTAGATGCTAATGCTACACAATTTAGGTTGATCAAACACTTCTCATATAGATAAAGGGCGAAACCGTTGCATGAATAAGAAGATCACATCGGTTATGTTCAAATCGTTGGCTGTTTTTCCTCGGCCCATTTATTAGTACTGTATGTGTTTTATGAAAAGTTTCAAGTCTAAACCATATGTGAGGAGTGTATTGAAAATAAATTTGTACTCCCTCGACTTTGAAATGAGAAAATTCTACTACAAATTGAGTACCATATTCTAGGGAGAATTCCACTACATGTAATTTTTTCAGATCTTTTCGAAAAGTGCTGGGAAGAAATTAAAAATAAATTTTCCCTTTTCACTTTATCGATGAAGAGGCAAAGAGAAGAGATGGGAAATTCATTTTTCTTCAGTTTTCTTCTTTTCTTGCAATTACAAGAATAATTCTCATGAAATTCTACAAAACATAATGCGATTTTTCTAATTTCTCTATTTACAAATACTGTCAGCAACTCTCTCAGTTGGGCCCCCAACTGCTCAAATACATGACTTTTCTGAGTGATTCTTCAGATTGCCTCATTTTTTCTTCTTTCAACTTATTCGAAACCATAGAAGATGACTGGGGAGAGAGTTTCTTGGCCTGAGAGAAGGATCTGATATTGTTCTTAGCATGCTGTTGGATTAATCTGAACGTGTAATTCCATCTGCAGAAACCTTGATCTTTCAAAGCCTCCACAGCTCCCACACTGGCTGCCGCAATCCATGCTCTGCCTGTTGAACTCATTATGTTCAATAATTTGCTTGTAGAATATAAGATTTTGAGTTGTGAAAGAGACTGAGAGTTTTTTCTATTTTGTTGATTCCCTTCGTGGGGGAGAAGCATATATATACACAATAAGTGAGCACAGAACCAGAGGCTTTGTTTCCAGTGGTTTGAGTTTTCTTGTGTGCTGTTACAATGAGTTTTTCTTTACCAAACTTATTGTGGGGGCATAAATGTCCCCACAATAAATGCGTTGGGAATTGAGACCAATTCCATTTATTTCGCCCATAGAATCCTTATCACATCAATCATCAACAATATTTAAAAAGTAGGGATTGAGGAGAAACTTTTGAAAGACAATAATACCCTCATTAAT